GACCCGAAGCCACACGAAGCAAGCCGATGTACGGCTGATTTCAGCCGATGTACGGCTGAAATTAGCCGTACCAGCCTGAAGTGAATAGCCGAACAGTGTTCGGCTCACTTCACTTCAGATCGGTCATTCACTCGGCTGCCCTCGGCAGCTTCGTGAATAGACCCCTAAATGTATGGAGGGTTGGAGAGTACTGAACAGAATATGGGAGGGCATTCCAGAGAAGAAGACAAACACAGGAGACGTGCTAGATGCCAAAGATGGAGAAAGTTAGTAGAGGAAAGGAGAAAGTAATAACCAGAGTAGAGTATTTGGGATAGTATCTGAAGGCTGGGGAGAAAATGTTTGCAGGAGACAGGGAGTAGAGACCTTTTATTGGTTAGAATTGGAAGTTTAAATTGCATTCTCTGGGTACTTGGAAACCAGTGAAGAGATTAATATAAAGTATAAGCACTGTAGCAGAGAAGATGAATTGCAATCTAGAATTAGGACTCGTGTACATGGGCTTTGAATTTTTTCTCTGCTAGTCTTGGTAGGGCCCTGCCCGTGAATAAAATTGACAATGCAAGGAAAGGGCCTCAGTAGGTTAAAGGGAAATTCCACCTTTTCAGATAAAGAAATAAATACACACTTCTTCAAAAAAGAAAAAAATAGCATTTATAATTTTTTTTGCATAGGAGCCAGTAAAGCATTGCAACCATGATCAGTGGACAGTAGGTGCAATGCTTTGGCTCCTGCAGAGCCTTCCATCCTTGTCTATACCTTGGTAGGGATGTTCAGTAACATGACTCAAAAACTGCAAAACCAGCACACCATTCTCTTCCAAAGAAAATCAGATTTTATGCCACATGCATCTGTACAAAAAAAACAACCTCTGACGCCTTTCTGCCTTAGTTGGCCTTAGTCATAGCTGGTTGTGAACCAACACCAACCCCACTAAAGGGTGGTGAAAAACATACAGGCGCTCCTGTATCTAATAAACAGCCCATGTAATTAAAACTAAAGAGAGGAAAAAAGGAGAATACATACTTCCTAAAGGAGTAGATGTGCTCAGGAAACTGTTGCATTGTGAGGCCCTGTGGGTCTTTTGTTCATTTGAAAACCTAGATTTTTATGTACAGATGCGTGTGGAATAAAGTTTGAATTTCTTCGGAAGAGCAGCGTGTGCTGGTTTTGAGACAAGAAGAGTCCATGCACCGAATGTTGATTACAAGGATGCATGACAGGGGTGAGCTGTGCGCTTTGTGCTTCTAGTATTCAGTAACATGGACTGGAGGAAGACTGAATGGACAAGTGCAGTGGCATCACTGCTCTGCGGTGGCAGATGGGACTTGTAATTTCTCCATTCACAGATCCTGTCAAAGAATCCTGCCAAATTCATAAATGTACACAAGCCTGTGGAGAGAAGAACCCTACAATTTGGGAGGGGAAGTTGGTCTTGTGATCTGACCGTGTTTCCTGTTACACCCTTAGTAAGGTAAACATAATCTTTAAAATACACTGAGCAGTTTTGAATCACCATAATTGTAGGCCATTTGTGGCACCCCCAAAGCCTGCCTGGAAAACCTCCACATTGTTAGCATTCCCCAGTCGTGGGTAGTTTTTGGGAAGCACCATACGTTAAGGGCTCACCCCCCAGCATCACAAGAGAGAGTGATCTCCCTCATTCAAAACCTGAGCATGCCCAGTGCGCTCTCCCTGCCCCTGTAGAGCAATGCCTGCGCTCGACCTCTGCTAGGAGGAAGCTTGCAGGAGCGAGGGATACGGTAAGTATAGCTTCTTTTTATGTTCCCCCTAGACAAAGCTATTAGGATTTTTTTTTATTTTCCCAGAGTTCAGCTTTAAAGGAGAAAGGTCGGGAGAATAACTATTTCCACAATAAATCCTTGCTGAGAAACATATTGCAGATTAATGCGTTTTTGTTCTCAGTTTGAACTGTATATCTTCTATAAGCTTTGAATTTCCTTCCTACCAATTGTGTCATTTTCCCTATGATCATCGTAGTTATTTTAGGACCGTAGCTGTCATGTATAACTGATGTCCTCTATGCCGTGGCTTTTGTCCTGGGACATTAAACTATTTGTATAAATATAGTATAGAGGCCTCCCGCTGATCACTGCAGTTTTGTGCAAAGTGAAAATGTTCAGCAACTGCTTGAATATAAGTTTGTGAAAAGTATGAGGTCCCTCGATGAGATGCCTGTGACTAGCCCATGGAATGTTTCATGATTCAGATTTATTTTTATCCCATCGTTCAGGCAATTTACAAGATGGTCTCCTCAGTAATGAAAATGCCGGAAGACGAGTCAACGCCAGAGAAGAGAACGGAAAAGATCTTCCGACAAATGGACACCAATCGAGACGGTATTTATTGGTCATTGGTTGAGACATTTACAGGGTTATTCACAAAAGGGTGAAGAGTTTGGTGAAGACAGGAGAAGTGAACAATCTAGGACAAAATAGCTGACCTGGAAAGTGAGCTGAATTGGAGAATTTTTTCCAATCAGCTATGTTGTCCTAGATTGTTCACTTCTCCAAACTCTTCACCCTTTTGTGAATAACCCTGTATATGTCCTGCTCTAACCAGGACTACCCTGTTCAGCACTATAGTCATCAGTATTTCCTGACCCCTTGTGGATTCCCCCATAGAGGACCTGCTGAGCTTATTATACAGAGGTTGATGTGGAGAAGGTAGTTGGGTGAATCCGCTTTTTCAGTGGGAACACTCTTGTAGTGACCCATTGTCAATTGATAGACTGCAGTGTTGATATTATGAATATTACACCAATTATTATTATACTGTAATACCAGTTTACAATATAGCTGTCACTGCTGTATGTAAGTCATAGGTACTAGAAGGAGTACATTTATAAAGCAGCATACCGTGGCCATACTGGTACTTTAATAATAAATGGGCTTAGCACATTTATAAAGCACAATGATGTGCTTGACCTATGTGCATTATGACCCGCTGGCTTCGGTAGCCTGAAGGTGGCAGAGCATAATAGAAGTTAATGAAAGTTTCATTTTTAAAAAAGGTCAGGGAGATCCCAGTCATGTGACCTGTCAAAGTCTCATGGCAAGCTTTGCTCCAATCATAGATCCCTCTCTGCTTCATTTACCAGAGAGTGATCCATGGGGCAAGGCATTGCAACCTGCATTTTATGAATGGGCTATAAAATGTGGCCTGTCGTTTTCATACCTCAGCATAGTCCTTTGTTGTAAATGAGCACCTATAATTTAGAGGGGCAGGCTACAGAATAGTGAAAGCAGAGACTTTGTTCAGAATTTATCCAGGGATAGCATGCACTGCCTGGACTGTAATGCTGGCTCAGAGATGAAACAGTCGCAATGCTGGTGCAGGTCTTGTGTGTTTACAAATGTCTGACACAAAGAACAACCCCTGCTGCAATGATAGTGTTAGAGTTTGATCACTGAGGGAAAGGTGACTGAGGTAAAGCTTCCTACTGCCTGCAGCAGACCGATTACATCATCTCAGCCTAGGAAAGGGCACATGACTAAAGCTCAATTACTATTTTTTGATGGGAAAAGCTTACTTTAAAGAATTTTACATATTTATGAAATATATTAATGTAAACTAGTAAAGTTTATTTGAATCAAATAATAATATTGCCTCAAGTTTTCGCTGTTTTCCACCTCGGGGATGAGAGATAAAAAGTAAAGGTGTGGAGGTAAAGGGGGTCTTGTCCTAACCATCTAGATTAATAAAGCTGAATGTATATGGTGTCCAGTTGTACTCTTTTACCAAGTTTTTTACCACTTTCTGAGCAGTGCACTTTTAGACAAAGTGCATTTGTTCTATTCCCCCCCTTCCCTGACCTAATAGATCCCACCCTCCCATACATAGATGCATACTTACCGAGATCTGGAGCAACTGGCCTCACATGGTAGTTCACATCCTGTACCAAAGTCCTCCCTTTCCCGGCCTTGTCTGCACAGTAGAGTCCCATAGATGTCTATGAGGTTTGTCTCCTGGGGGAGGATGGGATCTGTTAGGTAAGGGAAGGGGGCAAAAAGAAGAAGCGCATTTTGTCTGAAAGTACACTTTTTAAAGCGGACCCTTCAGTAAGTTTACAACTTGGTAAAATTTTTTGGAAAAGTTCTAAGTTCTGGTGGTCTTTAATCTTCTACTGGAGACCTTTCACACTTTTCCCTTCACACCAGGAGTCTCCTCACTTAGTAGATCATTGCTGTAAAATAACTCAGATCCCACAGTGCCTGAGAATAACCAACAACCACAATAGGATATGATCTAATCCCCTGCTGCAGATCTGGGTGTGCACTGTAAATCCTTCTACGGAAATGTGTGTGGTTTATTTACTTGTCTTTCATACTAAACCCATAGTGAATCATAGATCCTAATCTCAGCAAGAGCCATGAATAAATATTTCTGAAAGGAAAGCTTGTTGACTGGCACACATGGTATCAATGTGAGAGAGGGCATGTGCTGGCTAACTTGCATATTTTTTTCAGAAGGGAATTTAAAAAAACCCTCAAAGTAAATAAAATATAACATTGGCCTTTAAGCTGCTGCTAATGCATATATGCAAGAGCAAGAAAGAGATTACCATCACTGAAAACAGTGTGTCAAATAAATCTGTAGATCCAGAGATTAGGACAGCTGAAGGTGCATACAAGTCTTTTGCTGTGAAAGTTGAGCTTTGCCATCTCCATACCAGAGCCAACATGGTGATCTCACAAGCAAGCCATAAATACGGCTACCCATGGGAATGAATGAGGCCACGCAGCAAGAATAGCAGCCAGCTGGGAGGACCATGTCACAAGAGAATTTGCTGGATTGGGAGGGAAGGTAAGTATGATCCATATTGCGGGGGTATTAGAAGGCATCGATGTCGAGATCCACCCAGCTGCATGAGTGACAGCTGGCTCTGCCTATCTAGAGGCAGAGCCAGCTGTACCCGCCCCCTCCCCCGTCCGTTACGCCAGTCAGCGCTGGCGGATCGGAGCGGGAAATCCAGCCCCTCCCCTGTCGCGGCAGAGAGCCGTGACAGGATCGAGAGGTGAGCGAATGCCGGTATGTGTTCGCTCACATCCCGATCTACTGAGCCGACCTGTGACAATGAGACTGTCACAGGTCAGCTAGAACTATGAGGTGAGTGAAAAGCACTCACCTCATAGTTCTCCTTTAATACTTGCACACACAAATATATTTATTTTAATGTGCTGAGCTTGAATGGCCCAGGTTTTTGACAGGAGTTTAAAGGAGTAAAGTCCCATCATATACTAACCTGGTATAACATGGACATTGTAATAGGAATACATACTAGAGTTGTTTTTGATGATCCAATCAAAGCTTACTTGAAAAAATCCCTTTTATACAGTGAGTGGAGAGGCGCTCAGCCGTTGTGAGTTAGCAAACTGTCACCGAACGCTGTGCTACAAGTCAGCGCTCAGCACTGCTAACTGATCACTCGCAGCGGAGATGAATGTGGATGCACAGTGCGAAGTGTGATGGAGAAGGTAGAGACAGAGCACCAGCAGCCATGTTAACTGTGGGCACACCCTGGCAGTGCTGGAGAAAGGTGCCCGAACCCCCGATGGAGAAAATCAGTTCAGTGTGGAAACCTACAATTTAATGTTTTGGTGGACGAGCACACCAAATATTCATTGGAAAATATTATTTATCAGTCAAAAATATTATCCTCCGCCATTTGCTTAGCACTGTGCAGATGAAGTGTTCAGTGAAGATGTTGCAGCGAACTAAAGTGCTTCAGAACAGCTACTCAGCGCTTGGCTACGGAACTGAACGCTCCTCTGCCTTCCATCTGCCCATCACTTCCAACAACTTCCTGGATTCCCAATGTGCTTTTCATCTGTTTTCCTGCTGCTTGATGTGATGCAATCTTTGAGTTCTTAAGACTACATATCCCACCATGCATTGCTTCCAGCAAGCAATGATAATGTTACATTGTCCAGACGCTGAATTGTAGTTCAGAAGGCTCTGTGAGTTATGACACAAGGAAATGCATATTCACAGGGCTGAGTGAAATGGTGTCAGTACATTGAGGAAGTACATCCTATGGGCATCTTCAATTAGTAAGTTTACAAATTCCTAGGTCAATATGGCTATTAGGAGCGGGCTGGAACTTATGGAGATTCAATATAGAAATACAGATTTATTTTCAGTTTTTGACCATACAAGTTAACGTGATGGATGAAATAAGCATTCAGAATGCTGTTCTATGTTCAGGAATAAATTATTTTTGTTTTTCCACAGGAAAACTATCCCTGGAGGAGTTCATCAAGGGGGCAAAAAGCGACCCATCTATCGTCCGCCTACTTCAGTGTGACCCAAGCAGTGCCGGACAATTCTAAACTTTATTTTTTTTTTTAAACAAAACCTTTTTTTTTTTTGCCAAAATTAAATTTGTTGTGGTGTTGACAACGTCACAGCCAAAACCTACCTACTTCCTCCTGTGGTATCTTTACGTCTGAATGACAAAGAATGATAAATATTGTCGAGATTTGCGGCTGGACTTTTACTGCTCTATGGCCCTAGGGTTTTCTTCACGCTTTTTCTATGTGGGATAACAACAGAGACCTCCCTGAATTTTTACTTTTACAAAGCTGATCAACAGATTCGACAAGGCTGCGGTGAAGACTTGGTTTTATTACTGTGTAGTTGCTTTAGTCAGTTTTGCTGTTGGAAGAGTGTGAGGAACCACCTTGGTTCACTGGAGATTTCTAAGATTCACAGTGTGGTCATGTTTGTGAGTTGCACCATTGCTGAGCAGATTTCTTTTTTTTATGATTTTTTTAGAAGAGTATTACAGAAACGGGCCTCTCACTATGCTCACAATGGGGCATAGAGGCATTATGTCATGTGGTCCGTCCACTGGTCAGCCTGGCAGTTCACCAGAAGCTGGTGTTATCCCCAGGATATGATGTCATGAGTTGATAACGCCCCAGGAATATTGTCAGTTCCTAAAGCTGAATCTCAGGCAGACAGCTAAAAACATCCAAGGCTATTCACAAAAGGGTGAAGAGTTTGGAGGACGCAGGAGAAGTGAACAATCTAGGACGACATAGCTGAACTGGAAAGTAAGCTGAATTGTAGAATTGTTCCAAATCAGCTATGTTGTCCTAGATTGTTCACTTTTTCTGCCTTCTCCAAACCCTTCACCCTTTAGTGAATAGGCCTGACAATGAAATACAGATAATGGAGCCGTTTTACCAGCCAAAGGATTTGCATTTTTGTCCATCTAGTTTCGAGATTTACACAGCTCTGCTCCACAGCACCGCCCCTTCTAGCAAGACAGGAGACCTGAATTTTCTCTGATACAGTTCAATATCTTTTATAGGTCCTGTGCCTCCTCCTAAAATTTGTAAATTATAGTTAAAGGAGAAACAGACAACTTATGAGCTCATCTCTCTATCACTCTTTTCTCTTCTACTGTCAGCACGCTCTTGGCACTGCAGCACAACTTCTTCCTCCCCCAGTCTGAGCTTTACAGTACAGGGGATTGCAAAAGGGTGATACCAAGTCTAATTCAGGTACTCACACTGCTTGAATTTAAAATAAATACATGTAACGTTGTGCTAATGAATACAGAGCTGCGTTCATTTGTGTCTTTTATATCTGCCTGGAGTTCAGCTTTAGTAATAAATACCCTGAAGATCTTGTTCAGGGTATGATATGGTTTCTGTCCATGACTGCAAGTGATAGATCCGGCTTAAAATAAATACATACCTCCCAACTTCCACTAAGGGGTGGAACCACATTGGGAACAATTTGATCCACTTAGAAGGAGGTTAAGCATGATTTGGGGCAATTGACAGATGGACTTTAAGTCCCTGTTTTAGGTTTTAAATGTTGGGAGGTATCTATAATGTGTTGTAATTGCAATAAGAAAAACATTGCAAGCGTTGCCAAAAAAATATGCATGGATTATTAGAAATATTGGTGCAAATTGCTGCAGTTTTGTAAGTCAGTTTCATTCCATGCACCCCCCGCCCTTCCTATTGCCGTGCTATGACAAGTTTGGATGTGAGTGTTTTATTGTTCAGTAATCAGTTATTCATGTTCATTCTCGTTTACAGAAATGCCTCATTAAAAAGAATGCAACACATGACATCACACGCATTCATTTAAAGAGAGGTCATTACTAAATGGTCATTTTGAAAATTAAATCTGTCCACTTATTGCCTAATGGGCTTCTTTAAGGAAACAAATGGTGCACGGAACAGTCACATGCCAGCCACAAAAATCGTCAGCAGGCCTTATAAGCCTGATGGAAGAGCTGTTTTTATAGTCTTTAACAACAAATCAATACCTCAATTTCATTTTCCTACTACATTATGGGGCAATTGATTTGAGAATTTGGTTGGTACGGCAACTAGGTGAGTTCTTGGTTGTCATGCTTTGAAGAAAGATGTAATTATACAATTATACAATTATACAAGTTATACAATTATGGGTATGCCGCTGGGGAAGTCAGAAATGGAGAAGGATTTGGGGGTCATTGTAGACCACAAACTGAAAGGTAGTTTGCAGTGCCAGGCTGCTGTAAACAAAGCTAGCAGGGTCTTGTCCTGTATTAAAAAGGGGATGTATTGCAGGGACAAGTCTATAATTTTGCCACTTTATAGATCATTGGTTCGACCTCATCTGGAGTACGCGGTCCAGTTCTGGTCACCAGTACTAAGAAAAGATGTCCTTGAGTTGGAAAAAGTCCAGCGAAGGGCAACCAAACTAATTAGGGGTATGGAGGACCAGAGCTACGAGACGAGGCTACTAAATTTAAACATGTTCACATTAGAGGTGAGGAGATTAAGGGGGGATATGATTTCCATGTACAAAATGTTTAATGGTGGTAGCAACATTAGCGATAAACTGTTTAAAATTAACTCCGTTACAAAAACTAGAGGCCATCACCTAAAATTGGTGGAAAAAAAATTCCAGCACAAGGGGCGAAGGGGGTTCTTCACAGTAAGATCAGTTAGGGTCTGGAACTCACTGCCACAGGCGGTGATTTCAGCAAATAATGTGGAATTGTTCAAGAAACTTTTGGACGATTTCTTAAGGGACCGTAATATACAGGGGTACAGGTACTCCTAGAATGAGATCCTAATAGGTTGGACTTGATGGACTAATGTCTTTATTCAACCTCAAATACTATGTAACTATGTAATTATAGTGGCCAACCAATGTCAGGCTAGAACAGAGCAGGGTGCAAAGTGTAATAGTCCTCATAAATACCAAGTGCCTGTGTTGTTGACGCTATCTAGTTTGACTTTTTTTGTAGATCTCCGGGTGGTAAGTATGAATCTGATTGGTATGTGCAAGCGACACAGACAGTCTTTTTAGATGAGGCTCAGTGTAATCTAAATGCCTATTGGTTGTAGCAGCATTATAAGTTAAAGCTCACCAATTAAATTTTTGTCTTGGGAACGTACGCTCAATTTTCTAGTGGTTAGTAGGGTCTAATCAACGTTCGTCTTCATGACAAGGAAAGTCAGTTGCTCAGCATGAAAGTTTTTTTTTTTATCCGAACGATAAATATTCATATCATGATTTAAAATGGTACATATTTCTGCCTAGCACATATCTTGAGCATATGCTAAGCACAAAAGAAACCTGTTTAATATGTCTGGGATTCCATTCAAGTAGCAGGTTTGGATGATATTTTTGAGGGCTTCCGAATTAAATTGGTTGCCTCAATGATGGTAAGATCGAATCCTCTTGAGAAACCATTATGAACGAACGTTCAAAAGAAATTCTAACAGTGTATGGCCAGCTTTAAGACTTTCATCTCAGGTAGCACCTTCCCAAAAATAGATGAAAAAAAGCTTCTTGCTTTGCCCTTAGACACCCCCTACTCCCACTAGCCCTCTTACTGCATCCACTGTGTCCTGTAATAGTGATCACTAGTAGTACTTCATATGAAGGAAAATTGGGAACCAGCTAGGGTTTGGCTCTTGTTACCAAATCATTGACAAAAAAAAAACTATGTTGATGATTAGAAAAGAGTGAGAGCTTCCTGGATGACTTTGTGTGCCGAATACTGCAAAATTATACTGGATACAAAACTGGTGGATTTTGACCAAGATTGCCCCAGTTTATGCTGATGTACCTGTATGATTTTGGTAGCCACTGTCAGCTCCTTTATTATAGGTGCTGATGTGAATGCTTTTGCACAGTCTTGCAAGGACTATGGATCATGTCTTCACTTTATGAAATAAATCACATTCACCCACCCGCAAGAGCTGAGTGATCTTTTTGAAAATGTTATTATCAATCCACAATTGAAGAGTGGCAGGTGGATTGTTCTTCTCTGGAAAAACTTCTGAAACCTTCCTGTTCCCAGTTCCTGCCCTAAGCTAGGCCAACACAGTTTTTCTAGACTTCCACCTTTGAACACGATAAAAAGTTAATTGCACCTCTAAGAGCTTATGTAGATGGGCAAATGTAGCATATTTTTCTGTTCATTCATCTTGTGTTTGAGATGGTTCCAAGTTCCTTCTGAACTGCTTCTGACCTTCTAAATTGTTCAGTGGTTGCCCTTCCTTTGCTTGTTGAAAAAGCCGTTGTGATGCAAACAAAAATCTGTGTACACAAGCCCCATAAGGGTGACCATAGACAGATAGATAGGTGAGACAACTGCCCATCCTACATAAGACCAGGACCCACCACAATGTAGGGCATGACTTGGCATTGCAGTAATTATTTGCCTTTTCTCTATGAGCAGATAAAAGGATTAGTCCCGTAGCATTGCAATCTCTAACTGCGTAGAAGCCTTTGAGGGGTATTTATCAAAACTGGAGCAGACAAAATCTGGAGCAGCTGTGCACGGCAACCAATCAACTTCTCTCTTTCATTTTCAAATCATAACTGAACAAACTGAAGAGAGAAGCTCCAGATGCTGTCTGCTCCAGTTTTAATTAATTCCCCTTTTTGTGTTTTGGACCTTATGGTGGCTTTAAAAGGTCAGATCCGAATCTTCGGTCATTGAATAAGGTGCATCATCAGGCTGTTTAGGAGTACTCTAAAGTGTGCCTCGTGTGACAAGACTCAGCCCTTGGCTACTACAAAGCTTAGAAGAATACTGACTGGTTGTTATTGGTTACTGGCAACGATTGTCAAGTGCACCATTGTTTTAAATAAACCCATTTGCGTGTGCGTTTTTTTAATATCTCTTCCAACCTTGCACTCTCTCTTATTCGGACAGTTACCTCGTATAATTGTGCTCTATACTGTGTAGTACTGGCCTGTACTTTTTACTAGTTAACCCTTCCAAGTAGTGTTCCCCACCTTGTACAGCTGTAACTTTTAGTGTAATTGAAGAATTTGTAAGAGTCTTGTGAATTTGGATCAATTAATTCCTAAAACAAATGACTATGGTTTTATGTTTCGCCATGACGAATTTACAGTCGTAGTCCATACGGAGCATGATTTGTTGCAAGAAACTCTCACTTTCTGTTAATTGTTATCTGCAAACCATAAGCTTTAAAGTAATAAAAGGACACAAAATCAGCGGAATTCTTCCAGAGATCTGAACTCTACAGTATCCTGACCCCCTGACTTCTTTTATTTTTTTCTATCTTTGCTTATCACTATAACGGATCTTTCACTGTCAAAACAATTCTACTGCAGTTTTAATGCATGACATATCATTTTCCAAACTGTGAATATTTCTGGTATGCAAAAACAATGTGGTTTGAAGTTTACATAAATGATGTTACTTTGGATGTTTTTTTTTTCTTAAGTAAAGAAATAAATATTAATTTAAAAAAAAGTTTACAGATTTTTTCTTTGATTTGCATCAT